ATAAAAGATTTACATTAGCACGCCCTAAAATGAAATAGTATAAATCTAACCGGGTACAAGATCCACATGAGGAAACTATAAAATTTTCATGAAGGAAACCAATGAAGAACTAAGTCAGCGGAGAGCTATTTCATATTCACAGATAGGAGAGTCAACATTGTCAGGATGTCAGCTCTTCCCAGAGTGATCTGGAGATCCAAAGCAACCCCAATCTAAATCCCAGGATGGCATTTTACCCATGTCAACAAGCAGATTCTTAGTTTGTACGGAGGCCAAAGACCCCAAAGAGCCAACTCAATATTGAAGTAGAGCAAAATTGGAGGCCTGACACTACCCAACTTCAAGACTTCCTATAAAACCATAGTAATCAAGACAATGTGATGTTGCCAAAAGAGATAAATAGATCAAGGGAACAGAAGAGAGAGCCCAGAAATAGACCCACACAAGTACAGTTCCCTGTACTGTGACAGATGAGCAAAGGCCATTCAGTAGAAGAAAAAAAATAGGGTCCTTCAACAAAAGGTGCTGTAGCTACCGGACATCCATATACAAAACAACTCTAGATCCAGTATTTTCACCTTCCCAAAAATTGACTCAGGATGGATCACAGACCTAAGAGTGAAATGCAAAACTGTGAAACTAGAAGATCACACAGAGGCAAATCTACCCTAGGCTGCGTGTGGCAATGACTTTTTCGCTGTAACACGGATGGCACAATCCATAAAAGGAAGAAGTGGTGTGCTATACTTCATTAAACATTTTTGCTCTGGGAAAGACACTGTCCAGAAAATTTAAAAAATGAGTTACAGGCTAGGAGAAAATATCTGCCAAAGACACATCTGATAAAGGACTATAATCCAGGGATGCCTGGGTAGCTTGGAGGTTGAGTATCTGCCTTCAGCTCAGGGCGTGATCCTGGAGTCCCAGGATCGAGTTCCACGTTGGGCTCCCTGGAAGAAGCTTGCTTCTCCCTCTGCCTATATCTCTGTTTCTCTCATGAATAAATAAATAAAATCTTGAGAAAAAAAAAAGGGACTACTATCCAAAGTATATAAACTCAATAATAAGAAAACAATCAACCCGATAAAAAATGGGCCAAAGACCTGAACAGGCACCTCAAACAAGAAGATACATAGATGGCAAATAAACACATGAGAAGAGATGCTCCACATCCTATGTCTCAGGGAAATGCAAATCACAACAACGAGATACCATCACACACCTATTAGAATGGCCAAAACACAAACACTGACAATACCTGATGCTAAGAAAATCCAGAACAAAAGTAACTCTCATTCGCTGCTGGGGGGCCGGGGCGGGGGGATGAAACATGGTACAGCCACTTTGGAAGATGATTTGTGGTTTCTTACAAATCTGAACATACTCTTACCATATGATCCAGTAGTCATGCTCCTTGGCATTGACCTAAAGAAGCTGAAAACTTATGTGCACATAAAAACCTGTACACAGATGTTTCTAGTGGCTTTTTCACAATTGCCTAAATTTGGAAGCAACAAAGATGCACTTTCGTAGATGGATGGATAAACAAGCTGCAGTCCATCCAGATGATGGAATGTTATCTAGAACTAGAGACAAATGAGCTATCAAGCCATGAAAAGACATGGAGGACCCTAAAATGTACACTTGGCGAGAAAAGCCCATTTGAGAAGGTCACACGCTATAGGATTCCAACTCTGTGGCATTCTGGAATGGGAAAATCATGGAGGCAGCAAAGAGATCAGTGATTTCCAGGGGCTGGGGGGAGGGATGAACAGGCGGAGCATGGAGTCTTCTTCAGGCAGGAAAAGTACTCTGCAGAGTAGATAGGAACCATGACACAGCTGTCTACACCCATAGAATGTGCACCCCCAAGAGAGAACCCTGGTGTCATCTGTGGGCTCTGGGTGAGGACACTGTGTCGGTGCTGGTTCATCAGCTATAACACACATGCCAGTTTGGTGGATATGCTAATAGTGGGGGAGGTTCTGGGGGGAAGACAGGGCACATGGGCAATCTCTATACCTTCCTCTCAATTTTGCTGTGAACCTGAAACTGCTCTAAAAAACAGGTCTTTAAAGCCACAGATGAAACAGAGAGACAGAATGGAGAGGACCAACCAGTCTGAAACAATGCTTCCATTCAATATTTAAAATCCCGACAGTGTCTCTCCTGGAATAGGACCAGGTGAGAACTCAAAACATACCTGAAGAACAAACACAGAATAAACACACCATGACAGCTCACCCAGGATGGGGGAATTGACCAACAGAAAAGAACCTACAGACCCATACACACAGAGCTGTCACAGAACACAAACATACTAAGTACAAAAACAAAAAGTGGATATGTTGGACTGTGTTAAAAGTAAGACCCTCTGCTATTAAAAGTAGTGAAAAGAAAAGCCAGAGACTGGGATAAAGTGCAACATATTTAAATGACAAAGGATTAGTGTCCAGGAGTAAGAATGCCTATAATCCCATAAGAAAAAGATAGCTCAGGGCAGCCCAGGTGGCTCAGCGGTTTAGCGCCTGCCTTCGGCCCGGGGCCTGATCCTGGAGACCTGGGATGGAGTCCAACGTCGGGCTCCCTGCGTGGAGCCTGCTTCTCCCTCTGCTTGTGTGTGTGTCTCTCTCTGTGTGTCTCTCATGAATAAATAAAAAATAATAATAATAATAAAAAGAAAAAGACGCTCAGTGGAAAATGAGGCAGAGGATGAGTGCTCAGACGAGACCTCATGAGAGACCCAAACCACTAGTTTATGCCCCACTGATAGAAGGAAAGAACCTGACACTCTAAAGTGCCAGTGTATACCCAAATTCATACAACCCCGGAAATGTGTCAGCACAACACACTTGTACAGGCACTTAGGAAAGCGTTACCATACTGCAGGCCCCAACTGCCACCCCCCCCAGAGGCCAGAGCCTCCTCTGGCTGCATCCCTGTGAGACCCTTAGATGTGAGGACAACTCTACATCAAGTGCCATGTACCCTTCCAACAAATCACTGGCTGCATGGGTGGTGCCGGGGACTGACAGCTACCCATCTCCCCAGTTACATGCCCTGCAGCCCAGTAGTTCCACCCCCAGGTTTACAGCCTTAAGAAGCTCCTGCAAATGTGGACCCAGAGACACACAGAAAACAACTCAGAGCTCACAATCGGATGCTCAGCTCACTGGTCATAAGGAAAATGCAAGCCCAAACCACAACAGAATACTGCCTCACGCTCATCGGGGAGGCTACTGTCAGAAAAACAGGCGACTATCCTGGCAGGGATGGGGACAAACTGCGATCGTGGTGCTGCTGTGGAAAACAGTACAGCGGCTCCATGGAATCTTGAAAATCCAACTGCCACACCTCCTAGCGATCCCATGTGGAAGTCTCTGCACAGAAGAACTCAAGGTAGGGGCTTGAAGGGGATCTGCCCATCCCCACTCACAGCTGCATTCTTCATTACAGCCCAAAGGTGAAAACAGTGTCTGTCAGAGCCTGGGATCAGCGATGTGCTACACGCATACCATACAGCGCTATCTAGTCTGAAGAAGAAAGAACATCAGGACACCCACCACAGCCTGGAGGATGTCATACTGAGGGAAAGATGCCAATCATGAAAGGACAGACACCATAGGATTCTACTTCTATGTGGTCCCTGGAGTCCCTAGATTCACGGGGACAGAGAGAGGACAGTGGTCACAGGGCCAGGGGAGGGACAGCATCAAGTGTCTCCTAGGGATAGAGTGGACGGTAGTCACAGGGCCAGAGGAGGGACAGGGTCAGTGTTTCCTGGGGACAGAGAGTGGACACAGGTCACAGGGCCAGGGGAGGGATGGGGTCAGTGTCTCCTGGTGACAGAGAGTGGATGGTGGTCACAGGGCTGGGGGAGGGACGGGGTCAGTGTCTCCTGGGGACAGAGAGTGGACACGGGTCACAGGGCCAGGGGAGGGACGGGGTCAGTGTCTCCTGGGGACAGATAGTGGACACGGGTCACAGGGCCGGGGGAGGGATGGGGTCCATGTCTCCTGGGGACAGAGAGTGGACGGTGGTCACAGCGCCAGGGGAGGGAGGGGATCAGTGTCTTCTGGGAACAAAGTCTCCATTGGGAATGATGGACAGTCCTGGAGACAGACGGTGGGGACGGCTGCACAACAGAGTGAATGTTGCCCCTGAAATGTGCACCTAAAAACAGCTGAGATGGTAAATTTTACAATATGTATATTTTACCATACTTTTTAAAGAAAAGGGTATTAGTAGAACCATTAGGAAAACAATTCACAGCGGCATTGATGGTAACAAAGGGACGTGACTGCCGTCCAGGAAAGGGAGAAACAGCTGGACCCAAGACACCCACCACAGGAAGGCCAGCTACCATGTGGGGCCCCACGCAGAAGCACGCTGAGCGAAGGCTCATCCCTGAGCGGTGTACACTGGACTCTTTCTCATTAAGCTCAGAAAAAGACCCTGCCGGCAATGTAAACTAGGTGAAGAGGAAAGTAACAGGGAAGCAGAAGCTGGGCTGGGCCCTGGTGCAGGTCTTCCCCGGTCTCCAGACAGACAGCTGAGGTGGCGTCTTTTCTGGAGCCCCCTGAGTGCTGGTGAGGATGGCCAGCAGGGGGGTGCTGGCGTGAAGAAGGGCCATGGTGGCCAAAGCTGCTGCAGATGCCTGCCTCTCCAGGGGGCTGGGGGGTAGGGCCAGAAGAGGCCAGGCCACCTCGGGTGCCCTTCCCCTGTGTGAGGCAGGAGCCAGCCCGGGGAAGCCCCGCAGCCCGCTGCAGCCTCCACTTTCCTCCGTTCTCTGCACAGATGTGCCACCAAGAAACACAGAAGAGGCGGCTGGAAGACCCCAGAATTACTGCTGCACATACTCCAGTGGGGCACCGGCCTTCCCTCTCTTGCACCACCCCAGGGTGGCCAGGCCAGGATGCCACTCTCTGAGTCACAGGATGGACCCTGCAAGTGGCTGGGCACCCTAGCAACGAGGAGTGGCGAGTCTGCATAGACCTCACCTCTGCACAGCTGTCGGCCACTTCTGCGGGGAGGTCATTCTGCATGGCTCTCTCCAGAGGCTCTGCAGCCAGCTGCACTGTGTGCTGAATACGCTCCAGCATGTGCTTTTTGTCGGGGTCCGTGGTCTCCTGTAACTTCACTGAGAAGAGCTACGAGCACAGAGAGGCAGACCCATCAGCCGTGGCTCAGTGATGCCCCGCGCTCCCCCAGGAGTTCTTCCCACTTTGTGCATCAGGAAGACACTGCCTCCCTAAGGGGATGGGTTCTGTTCCCCCGATAGGCCCTAGAGCCCAGATCCTCACACCCCCCTGGCCTGGGTCTCTGACATAACAGGACTGTGCTTGGGGCCACAGGGGCGTCACCTGGGGACTTGGTGGGTATCACGAGGGCACCCGTGACCTGAAGGGCCCGCCCCTGGTCAGCCTGAGACTAAGCCCTAATTTCATTTCTAGTTTTTCTTCTAGAGATTGAACACATATACACAGCAATAATTACTAGTACAGCTACTAAAATAGTAATTACTATTACAGAGAATAAAATGACTTATTCTAACCTTACTCTGTTCATGCAATAATTTGTAGCACTGTTGTTCAAAATGAAAATATTAAATTGGAAAGAACTAATTTCTTCCGATTCTGAATCTCCAGTGCCACCATCGTCGGAGGCTCAGCCCAGCGTCCGCGTTGCACTCGGGATACCGTGTGGCTGAGACCTCACCACGGAAGACGCCATCGGAGCATTTGGAGCACTTCATGAGCACAGGTACATCCATGCCGCCGTGACACTCCCCCGTAAGTGGCAGGCACAGACACCTACTCCACAATTCCATCCAAGTGTGTCTTTCCTGGCGACTCTTCCTTCCCAGCGGCCAGGTGACCACATCGATCAGAACTCTGGTGCCCCTCCTGGAGCGGCTTTAGTTCTGTACACTCTGTGAAGCCCACCAAGGATGGCCACTACTCTAGGGACACTGAGGAGTCAAGGAGCAGACAGCAAGGGGCCCACCTTCAGGGCGGCGTGAACATCCTCCAGGAGCTGGGCCGCCCGTGGCTGCTTCTCCCGATACTCCTCAAACAAGTAGTTCTGCCGGGCCCTCTTGATGATCTGGAAAGATGAGAGGGCAACTGGGGGTCGTGTGCCAGCGCAGCAGGCAGGCTCTGAGCCCCAGGTGGCCAGCGCTGAGACGGTCCCCTCCCCACTCTCCTTATGTAGCGCCACACACAGAAACACATGCTGCCACTGGGCCTGCGGCTACGAAGCCCCATGGGCTGACGTCTTATCACCTGGGCCCCTGGATGAGGTTTCTCACAGCATCTACACATCTGAATGCATAACATCACTTGTATAAACCGTGACGCTAACCCACCGAGGGGATCCACATTGTGTGTTATCAGGTCGAGACCTGTGCTGACCGAGGCCCCCTTATTTTATCTACAAATGTCGCTTCCTCCCTCCTGTCACCTGCTGTTCACAAAATGTCCCAGTTAGAGCCCTACCTTGTCATCCACATCTGTGATGTTCATGCAGTAGAAGACATCATACCCGAAGTAGTCACGTAGCACCCTCCTCAGGATGTCGAAGGAGATGTACGACCTAGAGTACACAGGGACAGACCCTTCCTACAACTGTCATGCACCCCTCCCACCCCACCGGGTCTTGGCCCTGAGAGCAGCCCTGGGGAAGGCTTCTGCAGACCTCCACCAGCCAGCTACCATCCTGTATCGTGGGGCCCGTGAGCACCATGGAACCCAGCCTCCTCCGTGCCTGGGCACCCATCAGAGCTGCAGGGCAGGGAAACCAAGGCTCACAGAACAAAACATCTGTATGCGGCCCAGGATGCTGGCCACAGGGAGACAGGGCAGCACTCTTGTGTGTACTCTCCAATTTTTCCATCATCAATATGGATTACTTATGGAATGAAAATTTTTATCTTTTTTTTTTTTTGAAAATTTTTATCTTAAAAACAGGAAATGAAAAGCTCAGCACTGATTTTTCTTTCAAATCTCAGGTCCCCATAGTAGAACAGAGATCTCTAAAGGACTGAGATGCTCCCTGTGGGACCCTCACCTTCACACCCAGTGACCCCATGCTAGGCGCCCAGCAGCGGCTCCTACCTGGCATGCCCCATGTGAGACGCATCGTACACAGTAGGCCCACAGCAATACCACGTCACCTTCTTCCCATGCTGAGGTATAAACACGTCCTTTGTTAAAAATGAAGGAATGACAATCATCAGAGGTGTAAGAGGCACAGTGCAAGGTCATCCAAACCAGACATGAAAAGCACCCCATGGCTTGTTTAAATGAAATTCAGCAAGAATAATTTTGTTTTACTGACAAATGTCACGGACGTCAGGAGTGGATGCGCTCAGTTACTCCTGGATGGAATCCCCGAGACCCTTGTCGCCCTGTCTGCCCCATGAAATTCCAATCGGCCCACGGCGGAAGCCACTGGCCACGCTGAGCAGAACCAACCAAGTAAACTCCATTCAACTAGGATCCAACCCCACCTTCTTCTCCAAACCTGGTCGGCTGCCAACAAGGCCAACCAGGTCCAGTACTTTGTTTTGTTTTGTTTTGTTTTTTTAGGTCCAGTACTTTGCCTGTTCTGTTTGGCTTGCACCTCAACCCCTGCTGCTACCACGTGACCTCTCTGAAAGTGTGCTGACCCCTGGCCTGGCTCTGGGTGATGAGGGATCGGGGGGCTCCAGGGCTGCAAGCCAACAGGCAGGCTTCCCCTCAAGGTAGGACCCTGGGCATGCTCTGCACTGGGACCACATGGAGAGTGAGTGGCAAGTGCTGACAGATCTCAAGTCCTGTCTCGACTGACAGAACCACAGAGCCCGCCGTACCAGACAGATCTGGGTACTGTGTTCGGCAAGGATGCATGCGGCTCCTAGAGCCTGCACCCTCCCACCTGAGCCCTCCTTACCTTGTTCCGGGTGAGGCTGTTGTAAAGGCGGAGCTTGCATGGAGGAGACCCAGCCGGAGGGGACCATTGAGGCTGCCCCCGCCGGCTCTTACCTACAAAGGCAGAAAGAACAGAGATCATGGAAATGCGAGTCACACTGCACCCAAACACTTGGTCTTTACAACACATACTGCTCTTGGTGAAACGTGACACAGGGCTCAGCGGTGCGCAGCTCTGTCAGCATCACCCACATTGCAACTGCTTCTCTATTTTGCTTTGCTCACATTCACAGTGGATCGTATGACCCTAATCACAGCATGGCTTGGGAGCACCTGCGAGACGTGGTCACACCCAGTACAGCCCCCTAGTCCCCAAACCCAGGCCCTCCCGGCCGCTTACAGGCAGTGCAGCGGACACAGCTCGTGGGCTGGGAAGGGGCACGGGCCCTCCACTGCCAGGCTCTACTGCAGCACCTACCTGGGGGTGCCTTGCCCGCCCCCTGCCCTTTGTGGGCCACTTCCCAGAGCAGTACAAGACTGGCCAGACCAGAAACAGCTCACAGCCATAGGAACTCAGTAAGGATAGCCTCCACCCAGCCCCAACTCCATCAGATAGGGGCAGGCAAGTGGCCAGCTCCCCCTCAATTCTGGTCCCCATGCCCCACAACACACAGGTCACTTCCTGACTCGACTGAGCCGAGACGCTGTGGCCTCCACCTCCACACTAGTGCCTGACCAACTCTGGAAACAGTGTGGGGTGACTCTGTCCCTTGCAGCCTCCCAGGACCCCGAGTCCTCCCAGCTCCTGCCACCACTCCTGTTCCCTCCTCAGCGCTGTCTCAGGGGCTGCCCCTGCTGTTCCGTGTCCTGGGCCCACACTTCTGGCTGGACGGAGGCCTGAACCCTGAGAGCCAGAGGGGGTACAGTTCAGTCCCGGGCATCTGGTGTCCTGCGCCTAGAACCCAGCTGTCTTCCCCAGCCCTTGCTCACAGAGCACAGGATGGGCCCATGGCCATCTCCACACTACTTATTCCATCTTCCCAAGCTGCCCTCCTCCTGTCCACTCCTGCCTGCCCCTTGCCCCTGCAAAGGGCTCGCTCTCTCATGCTGGACAGACTGCCCACTGAGACCCCCACAGTCCCGTCACAGAGGAGTCAGTCCCACACGTGGCGTGGCCATTAGCCAAGATGTGGCATCAGCCACAGAGGCTGACTGAGGTAGACAGACGGAGGAGAGGGGAGGAGGGAGGAGGGAGGAAGGAGGAAGCTGCCACATGGATGTGTGTGTGTGCACACGCTGTGCATGAGCAGGCAGGCGGGGAGGGAACAGTCCGAAGGAGAAAGGGGAAGTCGCAGCTTCCTACTCTGGGTGATCGGGTGATCGCCAGCACACCTCGGCCACAGACTTCACTGTGTGGGCAGGCCTACGCCCTCAAGGAAACAGCACTGCTTCTCACTGAGATTAGGTATGCATCTTACGCCCTTGAAGGAAACTGTCTGGGACTCAATGATATGCAATCGGCCCGTACGCCACCATCCATGTTCTCTCTCACTCAGACCTCGTAACTCCTGAAACAGTGACAACATTGCCATCTGGGGTGAGCAGGGACATCGGCCAGAGCCACCACACACTGACGGGAGCCAGCGGGCCAGCAGGAAGTGTCAGGGCTCATGGCACAGAAGCCCCATGCAAGACCATGGACAGTGGCAGGACATGGCCAAAGGTGAAGGAAAGGGAGCCTGGCCACCCTCCACAGGGCCACTACAGTAACACAGCCAGTGGCGGGTTCAAGGAAATCTGGTGTATACCAATTCTGATTTGCAAAGGGGAAAACTGGAAGATACCACATGAGGAAATCTGTCACTGTGTTCCCTGACACCTTCAACTGCCCTGCATGCCCGTGTGTAACCACGGCTCGCCCAGGGCAACGGCCCACCTCCACGATACCCGACAACCCAACAACCCTAAGCCATGTCTCTCTGCACTTGGCACACGCCTCTGCCGCAGCAGTTGCCACCCTATGCACTGACTCTTTGTTTCGGCTGCTGCTTCTGCTTGAACTAATGAACACACATCCATTCATCCGACACACACCCAGTTCCCCCACCAGGCTCTGTCCTAGGCATGGGGCTCCGCACAGACACACATCCCTGACCCAACAAAACCGCACATACCACTCAGGAGACATAGGTCGATAGCAAGGCTCTAGGGAGGTGGCAGGGCAGACAAGGGGGGCCAGTCAGGCCCCGGGGGCACTGCATCCATCCCACCCCCAAGGGAGGAGAGACACACAAGTGAGGAGCACAGAGCAGAGAGCAGTGCCGTGCTATGACACTCCTAAGCCATGGGGCCTTCCTCGGCGTCTCCTGCCTGGGACCTGGCAGCCGTGGCAGCAGAGAGAGTCCCCGAGGGAAGTCCCCTGCAACTTCCAGGCAAAGGACGCAGCGGGAAAAGCCCCGGATGGAGTGGTCCCTCTGTGCAGGCACTGGGGAAGCAGGTGGAAGGAACAGGGGCTGTCCACCCCCCACTTTCCATGCTTGACAGGACACCTTGGGCTTTAAGGCTCACAGCCATGGGGAGGGACATGGAGGGACAGACGGGGTGCCAGCAGCAGGAGCAGCAATGAGATGTCATGGATGCCAGTGGAATGGACTGGGAGGGAATGTGGATAGGGTGCTAGGGAGCAAGGGACTGGGAGAGGCAGCACTCATACCCCAGATAGGATGTCAGAGCCTTGAGATGAGCGGTGCTCGATTCTGGCAACAACAAGGGGGTCGGCAGGTGCTCGAGTACTGGCCTCCCAGAGAATGGGAGAGGGCTCTAGGACCAGGCCTACTTACTGGCCACCTCCTGCCATAGCCTGCGCACACAAGGGGACTTGGAGGCAGAAGGAGTCAGGAGATGCTATGAGTGACACCCAGGGTGTGTCTCCCCTCCCCCGCCCATCTCCAAGCCAGCCTAGCTCTGTCCATGTGCTCTGCCTTGAGTGGCCTTCCTCTGCACGGCTAAAGGCATTTGGTCCTTCTTTCAATGAGGTCATGGATGGGGCACAAACCAGGCACTTGCCAAGGCTGGGAGCCTCAGATCCCCCCTGCCCTCTGCCCCTGGAGAGTGTGCCTTGGGAGCTGGGACCCAGGGGGGACAACATGGCACCTGATTCCACTGATACCACTAGGGTCACGGTGCCACATGCCCAGGAAGCAGACAATGTACACACAAAGCTCCCACCCTATGCTGAGGAAGGCTTGTCCAGAAAACCAAGTCACACTGCACTCTGGAAGATATATGATGCTCCCACCTCCATCTGTTACGGCCAGGGACCCAGCACAGACCAGGTCAGCGGTGTAGGCATTGTGATGCCCCCCATGCCCCACCTGAAGGAGTCCGGAAAAGCCCCCAGGAGGTGCCCAGGTTGGCTGACAACCACCAGAAGCAGCATGTGTGGCCTACCCCTCCCATGAAGCAGCATGAGCACCCAGAGCCGCAGGAGTAGCTGAGCTGCTGGAGGCCGTTGGACGATTATGGGACAAAGCACCCTGGGGTTCACTGCAGGAGAGAAACACAGGGCCTGAGCCCATAAGACTTTCCAGAAGTTCCCCTAAAATAGCTGGTGTCACACTGTCGCAGATGCACCAGTGCTCCCAGGCTCCAGCTCAAGCTATGCGGCAGGATTTCATCTCAAAGCTGAAAAATGATTTTTTTTTCTGATTTCTAGATAGTTCAATGTCAATTACATGGTTTTAGGATTTAACCATTCTAAATCTCATGGATGCACACATGGCAACGCATGGAAAGAATAAAGCAGAAGCAGCAACGGCAAATCTGGGCCAGGCCAGCCATCAGCTGAGAAGGCCAGGCTGGAGGCTGCGGCCCCAGCCCCCGCTGGACCCCTCCAGGTGGCATGCTCCCACTATGGCTCTGCACCATGACCCCTGCATTGCTCCAGGCAGCTCTGCTACAGCCGCCACAGAAATCTTGATCCGCAAGGGCTGAGTGCTCGGCATGGTCTGTCCTAACCTCCACTCAGGGGGTACTGGTCAGCCCACCAGGACGCTGCCCTGCATGTGGTGACAGGAGCCAGCCCTGTGGGCTCCTCTGGGACACTGTAGCCAACGAGCACCGCACACCTCCAGGGCCTGACCTTGGAGGCAGCGGCCGACGGGAGAGGCCCTACCAGCTGGGGAACTCGCTCTGCTACTCACTTGCTTGGCGCCCACAGGGCTCGCCTCTGGCGCAGGGGCCGCCCAGGATGGCTTCTATGTGCCTGAACCACCGAGCCACGTGGAAGAGGCGCGTGTCAGCGGGAGGGGCGGAGAGCTGCCTGAACGCATCCACATCTGCCTGGGACAGGGAGTACCCCCGGACATAGCTACGCGTGCTGAGGTGCTCGTTCAGGGCCTGCACCCTGGCTGCCTCGTCACTAATGCTCAGGATGGACCGGTAGGCAGGAGCTGCAACGACAGAGGCACACGGACGGCGTCAGTCAGGTGTGCAGAGGCCTCGCGCAAGAGTCCAGAGACACACAGGGCTCCTGGGTGTCAACCTGTGGCTGCCGGGCCGCTGAGGGCCACTGGGGAATGACCAAGGGGGTTTCAATTCGTGGAAATGAGACAGTTCTGGAACCGGACAGAGGTGATGGCTGCCCAGCAGCATAAGTACATAAATGCCACTGAACTGTACACCTTCCATACGATTCCAGCAGTGAACTTTACGTTATGTGAATTCCACCTCAACTGCAGGAAAACCACCCAGCATGCACAGCCCCTTCTCTGCAGCGGCGCACCTTCTGTCTGGGCGCAGGGGCAGGGGGCCTGGTGTGCACCCAATCCTGGTGGGCGCCAAGGGCGTGCCAAACCCCTGCACCTGCATGGTTTCCAGCAGCTGAAGGCCATGTTTCTGGGAGGATTACAGCCCCGTGCATCCCCAGAACACCTGCTGCGGAACCGATGGTCCAGCCAAACCTGCCAGCAGGCCTAGCCTGCCCTCCCTTAGGGCAATCCAAAGGATTACGGTTTGTGAGTAGTGTATCTCCTACAACCCGGAGGGGACTCTCAGTAACCTGAAGGTCACTCCTCCAAAATGGAATCATCAGGAAGGGTGGGTGGGCCCCCTCTCCCATCTCTGTGGAGGCACGGCCAGCCGGAATGGCCTTGACACTGACCGGCCCTGGGTGACTTTTCACCTCCTCCCCGGTACTGAGGTCAGCTCACCCCTCCCTACCTACCTCCCCTGAGAGCCACTGCTGGGCACCCCTTCACATCAGTCACAGGATGAACTTGTTCTTACCTCCCTAACTAATGTTCAACTGTGTCTACCTCTGGTGTGGGGGGCTCAGCGTCAGGAGCTGCCCAAGCCTGAGCAGCAGGAGCACAGACCCAGCCCCACTCTAAAATAGGGAGGCAGAGACCAGGCTGGTTGCACTAAGCCAAAGATCCTACAGCCTTGGGCAGGAGCCTGGTACCCCAGCCCATGAGTCTGAGCTGCATTTAAGGCTTAATCATCCAAGTTGTTTTATCTAGATTTTCTGAGCAAACCATGGAAGAAGGACCAGTGCTCATTCGCTTCCACAGACACCCTCTTGGCCTGAGACCCACTCAGAGGAGGAAAGCACGAGCCCATCCCCTCTTTGCCAGGTGCACCAAAAGGTCACTGGGTCACTGTGCCAGACCCACAGCAAGGACAACTCCCAACACGGAGGCGATGTGGCCCTACACAGCCACACTCCCATCTGACACTCTTCTTCCCCTATCTCTGTTTACCTGCCTGGCACGGGAACAGGATAATCACTCAAGCACCCATCCGAGTCCTGAAAGCAGAAGGCAAAGCATGCATGTGGCATGTGAGGAGTATGCACGCACACGAAATGCCCTTCTGCACTTGCTTCCACCACAGGGGGACCTTTGTGCAGGCCCAGCCAACAGCAGACATCAGCAAGGATGAGCCAACAGAAGGATGACAGCCAGCAGCATTTTCCAAGCTGGTGGGATGCAACACAGTCTGCTTCTCGGGGACATCCTGAACCCCAAGCACTTCATCCACAGGTAAGGGGTAGGAACCTACGGAGCTCCTAGAGCTCTCAAATGAATGCTGTGCTTTCCCAAAAACTCACCTGCTTCCCTCCCTGGTGCACCCCCAGGGGGGCCACCATCTGAACGGCCACCTTTCTGCCCTGACTGGAGTCCCGCCCCTTTACAAATTACCCTCAGGAGTACCCATGGCCATGCCTGGGCTATCTGGGAGCTCCACCTGCACACATGTCTGGAACACAGCCCTTCGCACCATGGCTCCCACACTGGGGCCCAGCCCGTCATCTCTGTGATGTAGGCTCCCTGATGAGCAGCCTGGCTTGCCCAACACAGTGGCCAGAGTGGCCTGCTGAGAGGTGCAAGATCACATACCTCCTCCTCGTCCTCCAGACCACCCCCACCTCACATGGATCCCCAGGTCTGACTTCAGCCCCTGCCCCCACCCTGCCCACCCTATCCAGGCACACTAGCTCACCATGTCCTTTCCGGGCTCTCTCATCTCACCCTCCCTTGCCTGCCTGCAATGCTCCCCTAGAGATGGCCGGGCTCCCACCCCTCCTCAGGGCTCTGCTAGGTGTCATCCTTCCATCAGGTCTCCCTGGATGCTGTTCCAAATGACCACCTGCCAACTGCAGCCCAGACCCCCACCTTCCTGCCTTCTCTCTCTTCACACTTACCTCTAACACATCACTTCCTTCTTTATGTCTGCCCCACACCACACTTTATTTCCTCAGCATATACCTTCAGCATCTAGAACTAAGCCTGGACACTCAACACATTCACTGAGTGAATGGAAACTTCTACTTCACCTGCCACCATACCTCCAACAGCTTGGCAGCCTGTCAGGTGGCTGCTGGAACCCTCTTCTCATGATGAAGAAAACTCAGTCCAGCAGGAGGAATGAAAGTACCTGGCAGGGGTGTGGGCAGAGCCAGGGCAGGGACACATGCCCCTCTGCACCCCGTTCCCTGTCTCCTGTACAGCTGCCTGGGCCAGGCCACCCCAGGCCGGAGGACAGCGGAGCAAGAACAGTGCCATCCGGATCATACCTACCTCTTACCCGGAGAGCAAGCAGACAGGGACACACCTGTCTCACTCCACAGGTGTCCCCGTGAACAAAGCAGGACACTAACCATGGCCATCCCTGAGGAGCAAAGTTACAAGTGATTCATATTTCCCATCTTTTTCTCCACGTATCCTCCACTAAGTACATTTTTATTTTTTATTTGTATTTATTTTTAATTTTTTAAAAAGATTTTATTCATTTATTCATGAGAGACACAGGGAGAGAGAGAGGCAGAGACACAGGCAGAGGGAGAAGCAGGCTTCATGCAGGGAGCCCGACGCGGGACCCGATCCCAGGACTCCAGGATCACACCCTGGGCCGAAGGCAGGCGCTACACTGCTGTGCCACCCAGGGAATCCCCCAGTACATGAATTTTTAAAATGAGAATGTTTTTAAAATGAGGTAAACGTCCTACACACCACGCTGGCTTTAAAGCACTGGCGAAAGTCTCAGGGAACCCCCGCGCTGTGGGGCAGTGGCTCAGGAGGCACGGTGCCCTGCTGGTGTCGGGGCCCCAGGCCTCCTCTCTGCCTGCATAAAACAGGCTTGGAATAACACACACCTCATAAAGCTGCTGTGTCTCAGTGAAATTACACTTGCAAATGTTTTAAAATACTGCCTGGCACACAGCCAGCCCCCCATCCATTTGCCACTTATTATGATCGTCCCTATGTTATTATCCTAATGGCCCCTGGAGGAGTTCACCCAGAGAGTACACACGCATTTAAAATCTACTGTCTGGAGTAGTCTAGGCCGTCACAAGGGAAGGATCTTCTTGGGAGGGGCAGGCATGGTGCCTGGGGAGCACAGCCCGATGACAGGCTTCTAGGCTGTGGGGCGGGGGTGGACAGTCACTGTGCTAACTGTGGTGGCTGCATTTAAACGTCTCTTAAGGAAACCAACAAAAAAGAGGTCAACTTTGAAGTGGTCATGGGTTTTGCCCAGCTGTCCTCTGGCTATCAGCCCCAGTGCTGAGATCAGATGCGCAGGCTCGTGAGCAGGGGCCCCACATGCAGCGGTGGCCCTCGGCCACACGGCAGACGCCTGCCCCACGTCAGTGTTGAGGGGACGTCGGCTCTAAAACGCGCCAAGGGAGAGACCCCTACTGACCATGGGAATGTCATTACATGCACAGCCAGTTCAGACTGATATTTTAGCCAGTATTTCCAATTTCAACAGCTGAAGCCTTTATAAAACCTTTTCTGAGATCATACAACCAAAAAAGCCAGGTAATCTCTCAGGATAGGTAATGGCCACATGAAATCAATGGCAGTCCTGACAGGACATGGCTAAGTGCATCACTCTCCCTCTCTTTGGTCCCTTGTCACCAGCATTTAAGCATCTGTCTTCATCCTCCACTCCAGTGCACCTGCCAGGCCCCCAGAACCCTTAAGAATCAGAACCTGGGGCGTGAGGTGGGCCAGCAGTGGGTACCGACACCAGCTCCCTGGGGGCCCCTATGCTGCCCGAGGGCCTGCAGGCCTCCGTCCTGCAGACCTCCATGTGGTGAGAAGACCCCGGGCAGCTTGCTCAAGTGCAGATCCCTCAAAGGGGCTCAGGTCACGTGTGTCTGTGTTTCAAAGACCAGCCTGGGCTCGAGGGATCAGCACCCCTCACCCAGTCCCTGGCACTGTACACAGTGCTAAGGATTACTCCAGGCCTCATCTTATGTGCTCACAGCACCCAGCCCTACAAACCACATCCTTCCCACAAACACTCCTCTGGCTCCCCTCTATACCCTCCTGTCGGGATGCTCCCCTCTATACCCTCCTGCCCAAGTGGCTCTCAGAAAGGGGACTGAACAAGCTTCCCAAATGGATTCTTTCTCCACATGATTCAAATCTCAGAGAGCAGAGGCGCATGCATCCTTGCTCTTCACCACCTGGGGGAATGCCACCCACTCCCAGAGTCCGGGGTGTCCTCCCATAGGCCGAGGGCTCCTAATGCCTTCTCTAGCACCCCTCTCCTGAGTACTGGCCCCTGAAGTCCAGCTATCACTCATCCATGGGTGTTCCTAGGCAGCATGCCTTGCCCCCCAAACCTGGGCTCAGGTTCTGGAGAGTGGCACGACTATTGTCCCCTCCTGGGTTAAAGCTTGGGTGCTTTGCTCTTACCCCTACACTACCCACACCCAGCACCAGCCCTGGTCCCCGAGCCTGCCCACTTCTCATGCCATCACTGCCATTGCTGCCACTGTCCTCCTGCTCAACCTGCAGATGGGGGAGGGTCAGGTGATCTTTCCAAAACCCAAAGGCAAGACCTACATTCCAAAAATGTGCACAAGGCCCTTGTAAACCTGGCCCCGTGGCCTATCTCCGGCCCTCCTCCACCCCCTGGCCTCAGGAACTTGCAGGAAAGCAGTGTTTTCTGTCAGGAACCCTATCCCTTTCTTCCTCTGGGCTTAGCTTCCACCCTTCTTGTGATCTGCTCTGCCCGCCCCTTCCTCAGGAGCAGAGTGCGGGATCTCCATCTCCAGGCTCTGGGCCTGGCAAGGAGACCACTGTCCACCACTGCCACATCCAGGTCTGGCCCAGTGGAGCCACCCCTGTGGTTCCCCACGCTCCATTGTGCGCGTGGGATGGCTGGCAGAGAAGGACCCAGCTGAGGTCCCGTCAGCTTGCAGAATCACAGAGCTCAGACTCTGAACAAACTCGCAGTTCTTGGCACACCAAGTGGCAAGTACTCTGGGAAGTGACCAAGGAGGGAGCTGCCATATAGCCCTTAGAGCTTTGAGGCCCTCTGTTCCAGCCCACCTCAACATTGACCTATCTTATGGGTCTTGTCCCTACTGGACAGAAAGGCCCAGAGAGGCTGAGACAGATCACCCTTGTTTGTGGTCAGACCTTCAGGGCCCAGCACCCCCCAGCAACGCAAAGCAGGTGCTCTATGTATACTTAGATTTACTAAGTGACAGATCTATTTAAGTAAATCTTTTAAAACTGTTATGACGCTTTTCCACGGAAACAGAAGCTCTAACACTCTCACATGGCATTTTTATCCTCCCTTGTCTTTCACAGACCTTCTGGTAATCTGAATCACAATCAGCTGCCCTGATAATAAGAGGGCAATCAGATGGGACCACTGCCACCAGGACACTGAAATGGCTTAATCTCTACCCAAGGGCATCATCTCTTACAACTCTTAAATAAAAGCAAATACCAGGAAACATGGAAACATGAGCTCACAGATGAGCAAATATTTGTAGTCTATAAATACGTACACTCATTTTTCTTCAGGGAAACATAGCAAAGCATATTGGCTTTATTTTGTCTGCCTTGACACACTCTGGAATTGGGGCTGTAGTTGTTATTCTGAATGGAATCATTCAGATTATCATCAAGGGCAGCCCACGAGGGTGGTTAAGATCCCCGCTGCAGTCAAACTGCCAGGGCTGGAAGTCTGGCTCTGCCTCTGGCTAGCTGTGCGACCCTAAACAAATCACGGGACCTCTCAGAACATCAGAATTCTTGCCTGGACAGGCAGATAAGGGCAGTATCTACCACAGAGGGTTGCTCCCAGGATGAAAGGCCACAACAGATGTCTTTAGACCACTGCCTGGAAGAGACACATGCTGAAAAAAATGCTAGCTATATAAACGATTATCACAAAAACCTCTGAATTACACAGCATAAAAAATTAAACAGCAAGTTTGACCAAACACAAAGCCACTGAACAGTGCTTTGAGCCTACAGGGCAAGGCCTCTGAGATGCGCTCCATCCACCAAGGGGTCCTCAGAGATGAGACTTGTCTTTCTAAGGCTTGGAATGGGATGTGCACCTTCAAGCTACAAAGGAGAAGCTGTAAACCCAGTGTCATCACAGGGAAGCAAACAGACATTCTGAATCTATTTAAGGAAGATGATCTGAAATGGGAAGAATATTCTAAATGAGGACCTCCTTGAAAAGCCCAGGGAGATGGTCACTTTTGATGAATCCAATCTTTGGAATAAAAATACTTTTAGAAACTGGAAACCAAGCATACCTACAACTCTAATACCTATACACAGCCTTTCCTATTTCATTTTCTTTCTTTCTTTTTTTTTTTTTTTTTTTAAGGATTTTATTATTCAAAGAGAGACGCAGAGACACAGGCAGAGGGAGAAGCAGGCTCCATGCAGGGAGCCCGACATGGGACTCGATCCCGGGTCTCCAGGATCACACCCTGGGCTGAAGGCGGTGCTAAACCGCTGTGCCACCAGCTGCCCTTCATTTTATTTTCTGATTCCTCAGGGGATGGTCATAGACTCTCATCCTTGGAGGAAACCGAGGGACAGGTGTGTGTATGAGGGGGTGGGTAGTAGTAAAGGAAGAGCAGGTGGGCTGTCCCCCAAGGCCAAGCACTGTCTGGAGGTATTGCCCTAACTTATTGGACTAGGGAAATCTATCAGTTGTCCAGACATACTGAGTGATTAATTCCAATTTATAGATCAATCTCCAAAAACAAGCCAATTCTTACCAAGGCTCCAAAAACCTAAATTTCTAAAGTCATTAAAAGAAAAAACCAGGGACGCCTGGGTGGCTCAGTTGGTGAAGTGTCTGCCTTTGGCTCACTCAGGTCATGATCCCAGAGTCCCGGGATTGAGTCCCGTGTCAGGCTCTCTATTCAGTGGGGAGCCTGCTTCTCTCTCTGCCTCTGCCTGCTGCTCCCCTTGCTTGTGCGTGCACGCTCTCTGTCAAATGAATAAAATCATTAAGAAAAAATCAGTACGTCATTTATGTTCAAAAATGAAGCAAAACCACGTTTTCATTAAAACAAAACAAAGAAACAAGCTCCAGGTTTCAACCCAGACAACACAGTGCCTATCTTGTATCAGGTGCTGCTCTAAATCCTTTTAAGGGGGTTAAGTAGCACATACTGTCCCTCTGTGCTGTGAGAAAAAGGGCAGAGCTGGGACTCCAGTCCAGCCACACCGGCTCTGGACTCAGCACTGTGAACATGTGCTGTTTTACTGGAGTCTGGATGGACTTCTGAGGATTGCCTGGCTCTAGGGCAGGTGGGGACAGTGCTGGAATCCAGGCACACTTGTCGGGTGAGATGCACCATAGCTGGTATGTGGGTACTGGTGTGGGATAGCCCATCATTTGGGTGCCTCCCACATCCTTGGGTTACCCTGGTGGTCAGAGCTCCCTACTTGGAACCCCAGAGCCCTAAGGAGCAAAGGGGACCACCTGGTGCCAAGGAGGCTTTGCACAGCCTAAAGTGTGGGCGGGCTGCCACACATGCATGTAATTTTCACCAGCCAAGAGCAGAAGAACTCTAGCTCCATTTTTCCAATGTAAAGTTTGCTACAGACTTAGGAATCCTGGTGACAACCTCTGGTCCTGCCAGCAGCAACAGCCCTGCTTGCAGGATAGTGGGAAAAGATCCGGTGCTCTTCCCAGGTCTGCCTATAGACTCCCTGGTCCAGCTCCTGGTGATATCAGAGCCCCAGGTGGGCAGAGCTGCTCCCCGGGCCTCCCTGGCAGCAGTAAAGTGGGGTAATGATGCTCTGACTAGCCAAAGCCCAATGCCAACGTCGGCAGAACCCCAGATGAAAGCCTTCGTAAAATCCCAAGCCTTTCATGTGCGTGTCTGCGTCCCCCCAGCTTCTTGTGCTCACCCCCAGCTTGCTGCCAGGCTAGAAGCAAACTGCAACAATCCCAGGGCTCTGCCTGTCTCAGAGTACAGTGAGGTCCCACCAGGAAACGCGGGGTGGGGCTCTGGAGGACCCCAGCAAAGCCTGAGGAGGAGGCTGAGGAGGGGGTGGCCGAGGGGCCTCCGGGAGCCCAGCGGAGCTCGGGCAGCGCAGGCCCAGGCTAGGGGTCCCAGGGTAGCTCACCGCCCACCGGATCACCCCAGTACCCGCTGCACCCCCGGGCACGGGGTCGCCCTGCCTGCTGGCCCCGGGGACCCGCCGACACCCCCAGGCCCCGGGTCTCCCTGCCTGCTAGCTCGGGCACCCGCCGACACCCCAGGCCCTGGGTCGCCCTGCCTGCTGGCCCCGGGGACCCGCCGACACCCCCGGCCCCGGGTCGCCCTGCCTGCTGGCCCCGGGGACCCACCGACCCCCCAGGCCCCAGGTTGCCCTGCCTGCTGGCTCCGGGACCCGCTGACCCCCCAGGCCCCGGGTCGCCCTGTCTGCTGGCCCCGGGGACCTGCGGACCCCCGGGCACGGGGTGACCCCGCCTACCCCGCCTGCCCCGCCGCGCGCACTCACCCTGCTCCCCAGAGGAACCTGACATCTTAGAAATTCCAAACCAGCGGCCCCTATGCCAGCTTCCCAGAATCTGATGCAACCACCGCCCCGGAAGTCCCGCCCAGCACCCACCCCGCCTTCCGGGATACGCCCGGTCGCCAGGCAACCACCGCGGACTCCCGACGCCCGGGCTCCGGGCATGCTGGGAGTTGTAGTTGTTACTGCGCCACGCGCGGCGTCTTGGAGCATCCTCGAGGCCACAGGGTCCGTGTCCCGACCTAAGATGCGGGGGGCGGGGGGGACCGGAGGCGCGGGGCTCGCTGGAGGTGTGGGGGTGTTGGGAGGATGTTGTAGTCCTCCCTGGGACACAGGCATTAAAGACAGAATCCACGCGTGCCTGTTTAAGTTAGCATCGCACCAAGGGAGGTAGGGACAAGCCCAAGCCCAAGCCCCAGCCCCAGGCTGGCAGTCGAAAAGGGATGGAGGACTACTTGGAAAGAAGCTTAGAAGATGGGATTGGGGGACACCTAAATGGCTCAGCGTTTCAGTGCCTTCAACTCAGGGCGTGATCCCGGGGTCCTGAGATGGAGTCTCGAGTCCAGCTGCCCACAGGGAGCTTGCTTCTCCCTCTGCCTCTCTGTGTCTCTTATGAATAAATACAATCTTTAAAAGATGGGATTGGAATGGATGGGAAGTGCATTCCTGTCGCAGTACCATCCAGCAGATAACCTAGCAGAAGGCAAACCATGGAGAACTTCACTGTTAGTGCAGAATGCGCAGGAGCAGCCCTGGCAGGAGACCGGGTCTTGAGGGACAGGCCAGGGCTTGACCTTTTTGGAGCATCTTGTAAGCAGAGTGAAGAATGGTATGGACCCACTGAAAGTTTCGACAGAATGAGGCATGACTGGATTCGTGCTTTAGAACTCAGACATTGCCGAGGCCTGGAGATCCAGGGAGAACAGGACTGGGAAGTCTTTACAGTCTACAGGGCAGCGAATGACGGCCTGGTTTAGTTGGGTGAGTGCACGGTCCTGGGAGAGCCCCACAAAGCAGCAAGCCCTGGGTGGGGCCTGGGAGACACGGGAGTTGGTAGCGAACCACCTCTGGGTTAGCAGAGTGATTGTAACATTTACTTTCACTGGAAGTCAAAGGCTTGGTACTGAATGGAAATAAGCAGGCTAATCTGTGAACACATCCAGGAACTGATGTTTGGGGTGAGGAGGGCAGAACAGAGCTCACATTCTGAGGCCTGAGTTATTTCTGGACATAGAGACCCCTGGGGAACACAAACCAAAAGAGGCTTCTGCAGCTTTGGACCCCCATGCCAGAGCCCTCCCACTGGTAAATTAAATCCTGGGGGTCCATGTCTTCCTCTGTGCACGATACCCTCTGCCAGGGATAGCACACCCAAAGTTGTGTAGACACCGGAAAGAAGAGGAAACATTATTTAAGATAAAAATTTTATTAGTTAAAAATAAATAACAAAAGTGCTTGACTGGCTCCATTGGTTATGCATGTGGCTTTTGATTTGAATGTAGTGGAGCCCGCCATCAGGCTGGGCGGCCTGCTTAAACTTTCTCCTCCCCTTTCCCTCCCCCTCTGCCCTTCACTTCTGCACAGTATCAAAATAAATACAAAAAAACCACAAACACAGGAAAACACAACAGAAAAATTCATACTCACTAAACTAATGCTAACTTTACAATAAAATTAAATGCTTCACTTATTGCGGTCAGTGACTGAAAGCAGTCACTAACGTGCGATTGAGGAATACTGCATTTCATTTATATCCTGTGCATTTCATTCACATCCTGGACATTAAAGACTTCAGCACAAGCAGCTACATTGTTTTAAATAGAAAAACAATTTCCCTTGGGGAAAGTTCCCTGAGGAATGTTAATCTAGTGATGACCTGCTCACCCCTGGTTACACCTTGGCCACGGGTGATCCCCACAACTAATCTTGGCAGAAAGCACTCTCACTAAAATGTAGTGAGACACTGTTAACCGACGCACATGATTCTTTCTAACTGAAAACTGAGAAGTTTCCAAAAGGTAGACATTGGCATAGGTCAGATCCTGTGTAAAGGCATAATCCCATGCCAAGAGTTTAATCTGAGGTCTCTCCATGTCTGCCTAAGATGCCTTCAACAAGTAGTACGTTGATAATATTTTCCAAACACATATGCAGCTGCATTTTATGTAGGGCAGCCAGCAGTTTAAAAACTGAGGCTTCCCTTCCCAGCTTGTTCCTCCACCTGAGGAGCATCTTATGATGCTGCTCCATCAAATTGTCTGGGTTTTCGTGCTTGCAAGTTTCAATGTCCTTTTCTTCAAGACCGATAAGTCTCATCAGCGATTTCCAGTTCTTGTCCAGGATCATTTCTTCAAATTCATAATAGAGCCTGGTGGTACCTGAAAGAAATAAGAACAAAAAGAACACTTTACATTTCTGGGAGGACTGTGTGGAACCTCTTGTCACTACTCCCCAGGGGTGCAGTCACAGGTGTCTCCTCCTGTCCCCTGGGGACTGGGCGCCAGCTAGCACACCATACCCAGGAGGTGAAGGTCCTGTGCAACCCCCTACCAATGTCACAGATTGGGTACGAGGCCAGGAGACTGAGGTGGGGCCACAGCTCTTGCCCTGCTTGTTGCTCATTACTGGAGCTTGGGAGAAGGAGCCAAGGATCCGGGGCTGCACGGGGATCCACAGTCTGCTGCAGTTCACCTGCCCTGCTTCTCTCTCTTAACATCTCTTGATAGAGGCTGCAGGCTGCTCAAGACTGAGGCCTGGTGTCGGCTGGGGACCACGGTTAGGATCTGAGACCTGGCACAAGTTTTGCAACCTATCAGTTTCAGACTGTCATGTTTTTAAGCCTGGACAATGGGGCGGTCTTGTAGAGCTGCCTGTGAAGATGAACTATATAAAAAGCACCTGGCACGTAGTAGGTCTCAATCTTTGATGACCACCGAGAGGGGCCTATTCATCAAGGAACGACAAGCATTCCTACCACCATTCATTCCTCCTTAAAGACATGAACATGTCATAAAGTCAAAGCGGTATCCAATTTCTATGAACCGCCCCCCCAAAACTCATGTTTGACAAGTGCTGTTTCCCCTAACGTCATTCTTGAGTGTGAAAAAGCTTATCTCAGGTTGGCACACGGTCCTTGGAAACAAGGACACCAGGCCTTGACACATAGGCCAAGCAAGATGAAGGCTTAACAGTTGCTATAAATGAGGAATTCAGGGGCACTTGGGTGGTTCTATCAGTGAAGTGTTTGCCTTTGGCTCAAGTCATGATCTCAGGGTCCTGGGATCAAGTCCCACATTGACCTCCTTGCTCAGCAGAGTCTGCTTCTGCTTCTCCCCCCTCCCTCTCTCCTCCCCCTGCTCATGCCCTCCCTCTATCATTCTCTTTCAAATAAATAAAATCTTAAAAAAAAAAAAAAGGAATTCAGAATATGTACCTTCATTTGATGTATCTTTTACAAAATATCTCTTTGCATATTCCTGTGGAGGGAAAAAAATAAAATTGTTCCAAGAGAAGGAGGCTGAAACAGAACCACAATCTGGTTTGAGGAAGGAGCAGGGTGGGGGCAGGTGGGCCTCTATGGACATGTGATGTCCTTCGAGGAATCCACCATGGGGGCAGAGAGCTCACAAGCCACTTATGTCCTATGGGTCACTGTCCCCCAGGACATGCCCTGGGCCCTGAGGCAGCTCAGTGGCCCCTGCTTGGGCAGGTGGGGAACTACTTTGTCTACTTTGTCACCTGGGGGTGACCTGCTCTGCTCCAGGGAATGCTCACAGAGAGCACACTTGTCCATAGAAATGCACAGTGAGATGCTAGGAGACTCAGATGCAGTCTCCCAGTGTAGGCCCACACCAGCTGCACCCAGCTGCCCATGAGCCGCAGCTCCAAAGCCCACTTCTCTTACGGGGGAGGTCAGGTTCCCCATCGGTGTCAGGCTACCTACTGTGGACATGAGAGCCGGGCCTTCAGACCCCAGCTCTGCCTCACACCCAGTGCTGTTGGCCCCAGAAAATGACTCCCTGCTCTGTGCACTGGCTGCTTGGCTGTAAAACAGGGTAAGAAGGGAGGTGTCCTCGTGGCACAGCCTGAGAGGGAGCCCCCTGCCTCCTGACACTCAGAGCTCCCAGCTTCTGTACTGACTCCTCTCAGAGCCTCGGGGAGTCTGAAGACACTCAGGGGCTGTCTCCCTCAAATGATGCCTAAGGGCACCCGACCCAGGAATGCAGTTTCCACAGTGCAGTCTGCAACCTCAGCACCCATGCCAGGGGGCCCCAGGGTCCACGGCATCTGGCACAGGAGCCCTGGGACCTCTTCCCTGGGACTCACCTGTGCCCTGCCTGTAGGATTCAGAAGCCAGGCCGCATCATTCCCTAAACATGGGCTCTGTCCCCCTCCTCCTGAAGAGCCCTACTCTCCAGAGCCACTTAGCGGGTGTTGGTGTGCCAACCCAAGACATGCACGAGCTCAGAGGCTGTGGCGTCATGCGCCTGTGGGCTCCTGTGGGGAAATGTGGAACTGCATTTCCCTGGACACTAGACTCCAAACCTGTGTATGTGACTGCAGCCAGGAACAGGGTTGTGGCGGATAGTAAAGTTATGACAAGGTCATGGGGGGCCCACTCCAACAGTGACTGGTATCCTCACAAATAGGGGAAATTTAGACATAGACTCGCACATAGGGAGACGCCACGTGAGGATGGAGGCAGAGGGTGGGGTGACGCTTCCCCAAGGAGCCCCAAAGACTCCAGAGGCCTGGCACAGATGGGCCCTCTCAGCCTCGGGCAGATGCTGCCCTGATGACACCCCGTCTCTGGGCTTCCAGCCTCCAGGACACGGAGACAAGGAACACCTGTTGTTTAAGCTGCCCCAGGAAACTCACACAGGAATTGTGCAAAAGCATGCATGGCACCAGTTAACACCGAGCTCTGCACACACTGAGTGCTCCATGAGCACAGGCTGTTATTACTCAGACCCCCTTGGCTGGCTCACGTACCTGTTCCAGACTCTTAAGGGAGGAGGACACTTCATTCTGGTTCTGTGACACAGAGGCAGCCAGAGCAGGAGTCTGTAGCACCTGCTCTGGAGCTGGGGGGCTCTCTCTGACCATCACATCCTGCAGCTCGATGCCCTCCTCGGTCTCCTCCAAGGGCCTTGGGCAGGGGATGTCCTCAAGTTCCTCCTCCAGCAACAATGTTTCTATGTCCAGGGCTGGCTGGTGATTCTCAGGGTTCGAAGGGAGCAGTGTCTCAACCTGCAGAGGGCCATTCTGTGGGCAAAGACAAAGTTATTTTGGTCACAGCAGCCTGCTGCACATATTCGGGAGGGAGGGGGATGCCAACTATCTGATGGGTAAGCAGGAAATGTAGATTTTTTTAAAAGATTTTATTTATTCATGAGAGAAAGAGAGGCAGAGACACAGGCAGAGGGAGAAGCAGGCTCCCTGCAGGGAGTCCAAAACAGAATTCGATCCCAGGACCCCAGGATCAAGACCTGAGCCAAAGGCAAACCCTCAACCACTGAGCCACCCAGGCATCCCTATGCAATTTTAGAGAATATTTCATGGGGTGAAATCCTTGCTCTGCCAGCAACTCCTAGTGGGGGGCCATCCCAAGACCCCCCCAACTCAAGCCTTTGGTGGGTTGAAGAGAGGCCCCCCAAAAATACAGGCAGATCTTGTTTTACTGCACTTCTTGGGCATTATTCTTCACAGTACTGAACCCCCAGGCACCCCCCAGCACTAAAGCATCTTTTAAGTAGGGTATGCACACTGTTTTCTGAGACACTGAGCTATTGCACACTTGACAGACTATACTATGGTGTAAACATAACTTTCATACACTCCAGGGAAATGAAGAATTCATCTAACTGGCTTTATTGCACTGTGTGCTCTACAGGCAGTGGTCTGGGACCAAACTGGGAGCACCCCAGTGTTGTGTCTACATGTGCACATCCTAACCTCTGGTACCCCAAAACGGACCCGACTACAGGAATTCAGACTGGATTAATGCAAACCCTAAAGCTGGTGGTCAGTGTCCTCCTGAGAGACAGACTCTGTCTGAGATGCATAGACTCGTGATGAGAACCAGAGATGGGGTGATGCCTCTGCTGAAGAACCAGGGTTACCAGCCCTGACTGCAAAGGCAGGAAGGAACCCCCCACAATAGCCTCTGAAGGAGCCAGCCCCACGCATTCCCGATGCCAGAGTCCAGCCTGTAGGTATGGAGACAAGAGGCTCTATTGCTTCATGCTTCCCAGTGTGTGATGACCTGTTACAGCAGCGCCAGGGCATCACGCAGAGCCTTCTGCCCCTCTCTGCCTTATTTTCCATTCTGGCCTAGACCTGCAGAATTTAAGTCTTCTTCCAGCACATTCTGGGGCTCTAACAAGGCAGGTGCAGATGCAGCTGGGAAGGCAGGGGCTCCCGCACTCCCGCCCCCGGGATGTCTGCTGGGACTCTGCATCCACCAAGGCCTGGAGCTATCATCAGGCAAACTGCAGAGCAATACTTACAGTGCTGCTTCGTTCGTCCACCCTTCCTGAAGACGAAGAAGAGAATAAATTAACAAAAAGGGCACCTGTGAGGACAAGGACTTCCATGAGGGAAAGAATTGCTCTGAATTCACGACAAAGTACTTGCCTTTCAACAAGCTGATGAACCTCTGGTAGAGCCACATACCTGCGGAGAGCATGGGAGGTGAGCTTCCTCGGGGCACTCTGCCAGCACCGGGGCCCCTGCCTCCACCCAGGCACCCCCATGCGGACACAGCACTGGTCTCTCCCCACCTCTTGGCCCACAGCACCTCGGACATGGCATCTGCAGCCAGCCGACCTGACCTGGGCTTAAGACCTGTGTGCCAGAAGCAGGTGGCAGGCAGCTCCCAGTGCGTGAGTTCCAAGCTCAGGCACAAGAGCAAGAAAATAAACAGCTGTGTTCTAAATGTAAAAGGCCCCATCGGGTCTCCTAACACCGGCTCTCCACTTCTGACCTCCTGATGCGGTTGCTGAGCTGGCTTTTCCAGGACTGACCTGACGTGAATTTATACCTTTCTTTTTAAAGCAGTAAACGAGGAGAAAGATGAGGGCGACGATGATGATGATGGTGATGAGGACCAGCACAAACATTTGGAGGGACGCACCTTCGGGTTTCTTTTCTGGAAGGAGATGTAGCAGAGAATGGTGGAGTAGGTTCAAGCATACTTTCCTTGCTCAAGTGACATGCTACAGCCAAGTTCCCGCTCCCAGGAGGGCCTGCAGCACTGCAGTCTCTCCAGGCCCCAAGCCCTCTCCCGCTGATCATCGTCTTGAACGTCCCAACTGGGAGGCAGGAAAGGCTCATGCTTCCTGGGTCACAGATGAGGACCCCAGGCTGAGGACGTGGGATCCTGCTCAGGTGGCTGGAGGCGGGAGGAGAGAGAGGTCGGCATCGCCAGGAGTGCAGCAAGAGGTCCTGGTATCCCAGGACGGAGCTCTGGCGTGAGGGGTCACAGCCACCTCCAGCAGGAGGCAGAGGACGGCCAGTCCTGACTGAAGCCATTTTTTGACTCAAAGATTTTCTTTGTGCTCAGATTAGATCTTTCCTAATCTGTTCTTTTTTTGGGTGTTAAGATATCCTTTAAAAGTACAAGTCACACGCATCAAATTTTTTTGGTGGAAATCACCAAGCCAATTCTGCAAGGTAAATAAATGGACACACCAACGTCCAAGAGCAGCCTGACAATATGAAGAGCTGGGGGACCCTGTGCCTTGGACGTCGAGGCCCGCTGTAAAGGTGGGCTTGGCCTGAGATGGCACAGAAGGAAAGCCTCCCACTCATAGGGATGCTCGCTTTACAACCACCTGACACTGCCTGCAGGTGAAAGGGGATGTCTGCAAAATACTACATGGGCTCATTTGTATGTACGTCTGGAAAGACACACTGAACCTGGACCTCCTACTCCATGCCACGCAGAAAACGAGGGCCAGGGCAGCCGCGGTGGCGCAGCGGTTTAGCGCCACCTGCAGCCCAGGGCGTGATCCTAAAGACCCTGGATCAAGTCCCACATCAGGCTCTCTGTATGATGCTTGCTTCTCCCTCTGCCTGTGTGTGTCTCCCTCTGCCTGTGTCTCTGCCTCTCTCTCTCTCTCTATGTCTCTCATGAATAAATAAATAAAACCTTAAGTAAATAATAAATAAATAAGAAGATTTAAAAAAAAAAAAGAAAAACGAAGGCCAGGTTCACTGTAGAACAAAATCAGAAAGGTAAAAAAAACACAAACTGTCTAGAGGGGAGCCCAGATTTCTCACATGGGACACAAGCGCTCCAGCTGTACAGAAGCCAGTGATAAATGAAGGGCGTGAACCAGGAGATCCCCCGGCGTAAGGCACCCTGCCGAGGAGGAGATACTCCCAACACAAAGGGACTTTAGCCTAATTTTGTCAGTAATTACCAACCTTTATAAATACAGCTCACCCCTGAACAACTGAGTTTTGAACTGTGAGGATGACTTAGGTGCGGATTTTTTTCAATAGATATGGTACGGTACTATACACGTTATCTTCTCTTCCTTACGAATCCCTGGATCCCGTTTTCTCTCTAGTTCAAGTTGTTGGAAAAATACAGTATATATGATACATGTAACGTACAAAAAAAGGAGAGAATCAACTCTCCGTGTCACCACTACGGGTTCTGGTTAACTGTAGGTGATTAGTAGTTCATATTTGGGGGGAAGAGGACAGAATCAAACATTGTACATGGATTTTCGACTGCGTGGAAAATCGGCACCCTTCACCCCATGTTGTTCAGGGGTCAGTTTTAACTATCAAAACTAAGAAAAAACCCTGCCTATGATTCTATATCAAAGCAGGCATGAGTCTTGCACAGACACTCAGCCCAAGTATCTGTACAAGATCAAAGGCTTCGGGCATCACTTGTGCCTGCCTCAAATCCTCATGTCCCTCCACAGACGGAGAGCCCCTTGAAAGCAGGGACCTGGTGCATGGCTTTAGGGATCACATGAAAGGAGAGATGGGAAGGGGTGCTACTAGGCAGGAGAAAATTGCAGGCCTCACGGAAGCCAGCCATGCCACTCCCCACCTGCTCCGTGGGGCACTGGACGTGAGGCAGGACATGCCAGCCCACACAGCCGTAGCTCATCACCATGGTATCGGTTTGTTTACTCAGAGGTCTGTGAATCATGGCCCGTGGGCCAAATCCAGCCCATTGCCTATTCCTACAAGTCAAGTTTTAATGGTACCCAGTCAAACATATCTGTTTACTCTGTCTTCTTTTGCTATGGCAGCAGAATTGAGGAGTGACGACAGACCGTATGGCCTGCAAAGCCTAACCTGTTTCCTTTACGCAAAAAGTCTGCTGACATCAAATTCTTACCTGGTATGTCTGTAGTATGCTGCGTGTTGCAAACTGTATCCCTTGTGGCATTGCAAGGCAAGATGACATGGCCAGGACAACTGAAAAAGTGAAGAAACCTGGAGCATTATTTCTCCCTGTCAGGGTACAGCCAAAACATCCTTCTCACCACCCACAGGCCAGGGGTTAGAGGAGCCTCAGCTCCCAGGATGGCCCACTAGCTTTCAGGAAATCACTGCCTGGCATCTCCCCAGCTGTCTGGTCCAAATTGGTCATTGAAGAGTAAAGCTCTGTCCCACCCTCTGTGGTGTATTGGGGGAGGGGGAGCCTCCCTGTTTCTGCATAGAGCTGAATGTGACTGTGAGCACTGGCCCTGCTGTAACTGTAGAAGTTAGTGCAAAGGTGAAACACATGGAAAATGGGACATGCAAGAGAATCCATAGAAACCAGAACCTTAATCAAACCAGACCTGAAAGCAGTCCTTACTACAGACTTGCCAGATACATCACTGTCCCCATTAAGGTCCTCCCAAAATCCGTGCCCACCCAGAACCTCAGAAAATGATCTCATTTGGAAACAGGGTCTTTGCAGACCTGATCACATTACAACGAGGTCACATGAGACTGCTCGATGACTGGCATCCTTACAGGAGGGAAATTTGTGTTGGGACAGACAGAAGGCCATGTGAAGAGAGAGACACACAAACATGAGAAGAGGACCTCGAAAAGACAGAAGCAGACTGCAGGTAAGCCAAGGAGCACCAGGAGTGCTGGCAACATCAGAGGCCAGAAGAAGCGAGGCAGGGTCCTTCCCTAGAGCCTGCAGAGGGAGCACGGCCCCGACTGGTTTCAGACTTCTGGTCTCCAGAACTGTGAGAGAATACACTTCTGTTGGTTTTCTCAAAACTACCCAGTTGTGGCGCTGTTACAGCACCACAGGACATTCACAGTGACGATGGTCATTCTGCTCTGCCACAGGGCGCCGTCTTCTCCCGGGAATCCTCTATTGCTCCCTCCACCCCTCGCTGGGCCCCTCCATGCCCTTGCCCCTCCCGGACACTGCTGCCTGTGTCTAGACGGTCTCCACCACTACTGGGGGCTTAGGGTCTGCAGAACTGTGGGTACGGGAGGGGCCCACACCCATGTCTCCAGGACCTTTTACATCGGAAGCAGTTTTCCACGCAGTTTTCCGAGTCACAGAAGTAGATGCCAGACTTGCACTGGCACTGCTGGTCACGGGTCGCTGTGCACGGAGAGACTACCTCCTGGTCTATTGAAAGGTCAAGGCTGAGGGTCAGTGCTAGGCCAGGGCCGTCCCCTCCCACACAGGCTACGCCCAGCACCTTGGTGGAAGGCATGAACCCTGACCCCACCAGGGCCACCTGCTCAGAAACCACCCATACCTCTCCATTTGCCGCGGGCCCCACCAAGGACAGCGCACTGCTGCCCCGGGTGCTGTGTGCATAAAACCTCAGAGGGAGGGCAGCCCGAATGGCTCATGGTTTAGCGCCACCTTCAGCCCAGGGCCTGATCCTGGAGACCCAGGAGCCTGCTTCTCCCTCTGCCTGTGTCTCTGCCTCTCTCTCTCTCTCTCTGTATCTCTCATGAATAAATAAATAAAATCTTTAAAAATAAATAAAACCTCAGAGAGAGAGCAAGGACAGCAGACAGGGGACCCCTGCCTCCTGCCATGCTGACATCACCCCCACGGGGGGAAGGGGGGGCCCTTCCGCTGTCCTCAGGTTGATAAGGACTTCTGCTTCTCTGCTCTCCCCCACGAATGTTTGACATCTGCACCGCAACTCCATCAGCCTGCTAGACGGTGACAGCACGTCTGTCTACTCCAGCGTTTTTTACGTGTCTGCTGGTCACCTATGTCTCACCTTCTTTGCCACATCTGTCTCTCTACTTGAGTGTTTTTTCAAGCCTCCTTCCTAATTTGTTTGTTCTGGATGTGATTCAGCATGGTTTGTAACATAAATACATCATGCAATAATAGAAGTTGGTCATTTGAACGCAGTCACTTTCACCCACCTCATTCTTACAGTTTGTGACTTTTAAGACTCCCATAAAATGTTTTTCCACTGCCTCGAAGTCATACTCTATATTTTCTTTTTCTTTCTTTCCTTTTGTTTTTTTAAAGGTTTATTTATTCATGAAAGACACGGAGAGAGAGAGGCAGAGACACAGGCAGAGGGCAAAGCAGGCTCCTTGTGGGGAGCCCAATGCGGGACTCGATCTCAGGACCTTCAGGATCACGCTCAACCACTGAGTCACCCAGGTGCCCCCATACTCTATATTTGCTTCTTAAAGGTTGACTTTTCACATTTGGCCTATGCTTCAGGAGTTGACTTGTGTGGGCAGTGGAAGCCTCCTGTCCTGCATTAGAGCCTGCTCTGTGTGGACAGCCAGCAACCTGTGCCAGCGAAACTTGAGATGCCACCCTTCCTCCTAGGGGTGGTAGGGGGCTCAGTCACCGTGCCACATACCACCTTCCACATGGATGGGGCTGTCGACTCTTCCACTGGCCTTACATGAACATCACACGCGGTCTCACTGCTTCTTTGCACTAAGCCTTAACACATGAGAGCCAGTACGCTCTTTCCATTTTTCCTGAGTGTTTCGGTAACTGTCAGCTCATCAGATTTCATGAAAATGCCTGTTAAGTTTTTTTTTTTTTTTTTTTTTTTAAATAAAAATTGTGGGGGCACCTGGCTAGCTTAGTCAGTTAAGCGTTCAACTGCTGGTATCAGCTCAGGTCATGATCTTGAAGTCATGGGATGGAGCCCAGCATGGACTTTGCTCAGCACAGAGTCAGCTTCAGTTTCTCTCTCCCTCCCACTCTTGCTCTCTCTCTCTCAAATAAATAAAACCTTAAAAAATAATAATAATAAATAAAAATTCTGTATTTAAAATATACAGCATGATTGAATTATTTTCATTGGGATTCTTCCTGGGAATGCAGAGTCTAAGATCCATATCATGGAGAACTGATTTCTTTAAAACATGGAGTCTTCTTACTTATTATGTAGATTCATGTGTAGATTTATTTAAATGTTGTTTGTTCATTTTATACATCCTTTGCTAAATTTATCTCAAAGAATCCTATTTTTTGTTAATGCAAATAGTATCTTTTTAAAAAAATTACATTTTTTAAAACACTTTGGGGATGCGTGGGGTGGCTCAGTGGCTTAGTGTCTGCCTTCGGCTCAGGTCCTGATCCGGGGATCTGGGATCGAGTCCCACATTGGACTTCCTGCATGGAACCTGCTTCTCCCTCTGCCTATGTCTCTGCCTCTCTCTCTCTGTGTCACTCATGAATAAATAAGATAAAATCTTTAAAAGTAAATAAATAAAAATAAAAAATACAACATTTTGCTGCTAACATATAAATATAGATAAATCTTTGCATATTATTCCTGTATATAGTGTTCCTAAAAATCCTGATTCTGTGTAGACTGACTAAATACACGGCAGCTCTACCATTGCGCTCATCTGTAATAATTCCTTGGGGCAATGCTGACAAGCTGAGTCGAAGGGGGCTATGTTTTACAAATCCCACTGTGCCTGGCTGTAGCCCACTTACCCTCTCGGCACTGACTGCACAGCCGACAATTTGTCTCCGCATTTCGGTAGGGAAGGTAGCTTCCAGGTTCACACGGGCTACATACCCCAGCATCATGGTTTCTATCACAGTGTTTGCTGACATAATGGCCTGTGAAGGGGGGGCACATAGAGGTGAGGTGGGGGCCCAGAGCAAACCCAACCCGACCCAACCGAGGCCTCCACTTGGGGACCAGCCCTCAGCAATCATTTCCTTGGAGCATTCTAGTCTGACAACTTGGCCACATGTGTCTCAGGAACCCAGGGACTTGATGCCCCTCGGCTTTCAGGGACATCTTGCAGGACACACAAGCAGATGGTTTTCAGCATACACCCTGGAGCCCACCTAAGAACCTGACAGCGTCTGTGTGTCCACCCCTAGCCCTCCAGAGTGGGCTGGACAGCTTCTGGTGAAGTTACAGGGGACACTGGAGGTCTAATGACAGAGGTCTTTGACCAGTCTCAGAGGAGCTCTCAGTTCTAGGACCTGTCTCGTGCAAAGGCTGTAGCTGAGTCAAATCACACCTTGCTGGGAGGAAGTTGTCACAAACTGCAATTTGTAGAGTCTGAATTACAAAGTTTCCAGTTGAAACAACTGTCAACTGTCTAATTCACCTCCCCATGAGCTGTGCCTGTGGGGGGGGGGTGCCATGTGCACAAAGATGAGGACACACAGATGTGCAGTATACAGACAGAGGTGTTAGGAGCGTACAGGGTGAGTAGCCCAGGTAGGATGTCTGGTCCCTAAAACAGGTGTCCTGCTCCGACAGAGCGTGGGCATGGAACATACAGGTGGTGATGGGTACAGGTGTGTGGTTGACCCCTGAAGCTCTCACTGTAGTGAGTACACATCTGTCTGCATGTGTAGATGAGGTGACATAGAATGGGAGGGGGGTGCAGCCCCCACCTGCTTTATGGAGCTCATTCAGAGTATCCTCATGCAGGTGAGTAAGCCTCCATGAATGTGCTGTGCTTAAGGACAGCAGTGGCCCCTGCCCTGCTAGAACCAGCAGGTGTCCAGTCACCCCAACGGGAGGGGAGGTAAGAGTATCCAGCCTAGGTAGGAACCCCCAGCTTGTCCTCCACGTGCTGTAGGCATCTCACCCAACAAAACAAGCCCACAAACCTGTTTGTGTGAAAGCCCTCCAGAGTGGGGGCACAGAGGGGGTGAGTGGGTGCCAAGGAGAGGTCCACCCACCTGAGCCAGCAGAGTTCTCCCCACCCCACCTCAAGCTCTGCTCCAAGAGCCCACAGCCTTCCTTCTCTAGCTTTGGAGAGCCACCTCACAAGGATCCAGAAGATACTCTGGGACTCACCAGCAGGGCACTGTTCACAGCAGAGGTTGAGACCCTCAGGTTCATATTCATATTCCTTACAATTGGACACAATGGCTGCCATGGGCACCTTCAATCAGAAAGAGGAGACGGGTGTTATTAAGAGAAGCCTCTGCTACAGATGGAGCCACACACACCCTCTATCTGGACACACAGGAGCAGAGAGGTGGACAGTCACCTACCACTTCATGGGGGTGGAAAATTCCTATGTAGCTCTGTGCTTTTGGACTCGGTATATGGAGCAGTGTTACTGTGGGGGTAAATGTTCGTTGTTTCCAAACACATGTGGTACAGCCCACTGTTCTGTTGTTGCTGTCTCACCTACTGGCTCGGCCAGAACTGGATCCTGCACGCGATGGATCCTTTGGGAATAAGTATTCCTTTTTTTTTTTTCTTTTTTCTTTTTAAGACTGATTTATTTCAGAGCACCTGGGTATCTCAGTCAGGGAAGTGGCTGCCTTCAGCTCAGATCTTGCTCATCAGGCTCCCTGCTCCGTGAAGACCCGGCTTCTCCCTCTCTCTGCCTCTCCCCCTACTTGTGCTTGTGTGTGCTCTCTCGCTCTCTCTCAAATAAATAAAATCTTTAAAAAAAGTATTTATTTTAGAGAGTGCACGAGCAGGGGAGGCAGAGGGAGAGAGAGGCAGAGAACGCCAAGCAGACTCCATCCTGAGTGTGAAGCCCAACATGGAGCTTCATTCCCAGGACTCTTGAGATCAAGCTCCTGGGCCCAAATCAAGAGTCAGATGTTCAAGGGATGAAGCCACCCAGGGGCCCCCAAGTACTTTTTTTCGTTATAGTTAATCTGTTCAGCAGCCATATCTGTGTTAAGAAAGCACATCACCCACCGGTTGGGAACCTGCTATCCAGGTGCACACACACTGCTGACTGGTCACGATATGGTTCTAATTTTTTGCATCCTTACTGATTGGTTTCTGCTCAATCTATCGGGTTTTGAGGTATATTAAAATCTCTTACTAAGTTTGAAATCGTAGATTTCACCAGGCAACTATGTCAGTTCCTGCTCTTGTGCTAGTGCCCCAGATCCTTGCCATTTGCTGAACTCTGCTTTGTAAACTTGCCTGCTCAGTGATATTTATATGTAACCCCTGAGCTGCTGCTCATGGCACCTCCAGCCACACACAGAACTAGCAAGACTGCCTCTCTCTCTCTCTCTCTGTGACTATCATAAATAAATAAAAATTAAAAAAAAAGTAACTGTCTGAAAGTGTACACTATGGTGGCATCCAGCCCTTTCACACTGTTGCATAACCATCTGGAATGTTTTGGTACTTCAAAAGTCCAAAGGTATTTCAAAATGAAACCTGAAAAATTAAAAGCCTTGTTAAAAAAAAAAAATCTCAAAACAAGAGGAAAGCCTTTTTTTATAAAAAAGATTTTATTTATTTATTCATGAGAGACACACAGAGAGAGGCAGAGACACAGGCAGAGGGAGAAGCAGGCTCCACACCGGGAGCCTGACGTGGGACTCGATCCCGGGACTCCAGGATCACGCCCTGAGCTAAAGGCAGATACCGAACTGTTGAGCCACCCAGGCATCCCAGCAGCTTTCGTTTCTGGAACTCTCTCAGGCAAAAACATAATGGGAGGCCATTTCCTCCCTCCTGCCAAGGTTTATCAGCTCAGCCCGCAAGGGGGTGCTCCGCGAGGGCAGATGACACTAGAAGAAGTGGGGACTTGCCCTCCCCATGTCAAGCCAGTGTCAGGCCACAGGTCCAGCCCCCTCCGCTGGCCTGCCCACTTCCTCTGCTGGCGGGCGCTGCCAAGCCCCCAGCTCTCGGAGCCCGGAAACAGTACTTCAACCCACAGCCAGAACCAGAGCAGGGGCAGGAGGGTTGGTGGCTTCAGCTATACCCCTGGTGGCCCATCGTCTGTACCCTGAGGACTCGGGACAAGGGTGGAGGCAACATCGCAGCCCCCCTCCAACTCAGCAACAGGAACATGATGCAAGATTTAAAAATATTGAATCAGTCGACTGCTCCCAGCTTTGGTGAGTAAGTTTTTCCCGGAAATTGAGTTGGAATATGAAAGCAGGCAGGCTCTGACCAAGTGCTAGGTCCCCAGGTCCCCTTTCATCTTTATTTAAAATGTTTTCATTTTGGGCAGCCCAGGTGGTTCAGCAGTTTAGAGCCACCTTCAGTCCAGGGCCTGATCCTGCAGAACCAGGATCGAGTCCCGCTTCAGGCTCCCAGCATGGAGCCTGCTTCTCCCTCTGCCTGTGTCTCTGCCTCTCTCTCTCTCTGTCTCTCATGAATAAATAAATAAAATCTTTAAAAATAAAATAAAATGTTTTCATTTTAAATGCATGCTATTTCAGCATGGATTTTTTTGGTGGCGGGGGGGTGACACGGATTTTTCATTTTCAAAAAAGTATTACCTCGTATTCTGAGTTTTTTTTGGTAGATTTTTTTAAAGATTATATTCATTTATTCATGAAAGAAACACAGAGAGAGGTAGAGACACAGGCAGAGGGAGAAGCAGGCTCCATGTAAGGAGCCCAATGTGGGACTTGATCCCGGACTCCAGGACCATGCCCTGGGCCAAAGGCAGGTGCCAAACCACTTAGCCACCCAGGGATCCCCTTTTTGGTAGATTTTATACCAGACACGTGCCAGACTCCCCACCTCCTAGACCTCGTGCAGGGGACTAAGGGGTCCCCAGGTCCCCAGCTATGGCCCACCTACCAGCAGCAATCCCCCACCCCACAAGGCTCGCCCCAGCCACAGGTCCCCCTGCTCCCTGCACCACCCACCCCAGCTCCTCCACACCTCAGCTCAGGCTCCCTCCAGCCCCTTTGCTTCTGTACCAAGAAATCACTAAAGAATTGCCCACTAGACAGACACGCAATGCCATGTGGGAACCGCAACCACATGGAAAAGCCCTAAAGAGCCCGCAAGAAGTGAAGTACTTGTGTGAACGAGAACACGCCACCAACGGGAAGTGAGCGTCTTCTTCCCGGCCACCCCAGCCTCCCAGACTGGAAGGGCCTGGGAGGGGTCCTGAGAACCCAGAGCCAGGCAGAGGAGAAGAGAGGCATTTCTCCTACCCTGTCACAATCAGACTGGCAGGCTAATTCCAGAAGCTGCAGATTTGAAGTTCTCCCCGCCCTAAAGCTTCAGCATTTGTGACAAGAAACTGATGAAAGGGGCGCCTGGGTGGCTCAAATCAGGATCCCAGGGTCCTGGGATGGATCCCCTCAGCAGGTTCCCTGCTCAGTGGGGAGGTTTGCTTCTCCTTCTCCCTCTTCTCCTCCCTCACCTCTCCCCTCGTGGTTGCTCCCCCTCCTTCAAATAAATGTTAAAAAAAATAAAATAGGGGCAGCCCTGGTGGTGCAGCGGTTTAGCGCTGCCTGCAGCCCAGGGTGTGTGATCCTGGAGACCCGGGATGAGGATGAGTCCCACGTGGCCTCCCTGCATGGAGCCTATTTCCCCCTCTGCCCGTGTCTCTGCCTCTCTCTCTCTGAATGAATAAATAAATAAATCTTTAAAAAAATAAATAATAATAAAATAAAATAAAACTGATGGAAGAATGTACCCTGAATAAGCACCAAACACCATATTTTGAAGCATGACCCACCAGTCTCATGGGCTAAAAGCCTCTCTGCTTTTGCAGAGAGAAGGAAACCACTGACAAAATGAAGTGCCCATCTACTGAATTGGAGAAAATACTTCCAAACGATAAATCCAACAAGGGCTTAACATCCAAAACATGTAAAGAACTCATACAAACTCCATAAAAACAAAACAAAACAAAAACAAA